TTATTATATAATAGGTGCCTGAGTGTGTTTTTAGTCTTGAAATGGCATCTATACAGTATATCATTAAAATACTTTAAGTACTAGATAAAACATGAGCAGCCGATTGTACTTCGCCAATGAACTCATAAACTGGCCATAAGGTGATTCAAATCTAAGTGGGAGCTTTCTCAATGTGACTCAAACCCAGTCCTCATGAAAAGAGTAAATGTTAGCACTCTGCCGAATGTTGTGGGTTTCCTCACGCAGGGAAAGTTGACAGGGCGTGGTAGGTAAAAGGGCCCACAGTAATTGACATAAGCTGTCAGTTGCTGTGACACTGTGCTAATTGGCAAGACTATAAATATGATTAAAAATAGCCTTGGATATAATTGGTAAAAATAAAATGTTGTTGTTGCACAAGGAGTCCAACTAAGAGCTGTGTTATGAATATGAATAAAACATAACATAATACATTTAAATTATTGCACTTATGCATGAGTCAATTCCAGAAGTTTTATTCATATTCATAACAAAAGCTATTTAATAGTTGGACTTGGACCCCTGTGGTTGTTGTAACTTGTCAATACAAAATCTTAAAAAGTTTTATTTATGAACCCAACGCAAGATAGTGCCCAACGCGAGATTACATTGAGATGTGTTTCAAGATGTGTAATCTTTAAATTTCATATATTGAATAGTGTTAATATTAACAAACTTACCATATTTCAACACAATGTGCTTCATCAATAACGCAAGCCGCCACATTATCCTGATACACTTTACTAATCAAAAGCTTTCTTCCGAACGTGCTTAGAAGAGCTTCGGGATGAGCAAATAACAATTTCGCCTTTCCATCGATCACTGCTTTCGAAACGTTTACATTACATTCTTCCGAAGTTTGTTCGTTTGTATCCTCATTGCGATCAAACAACGACTCCGAATTGTATAAATGTGAAGAATCTTCGCATGTATTTGGTAAAATTTCTGCTGGAATTCCAATCAAACTCAGAGCACTGATTTGATCTTCGATTATACTTGATAACGGACAGACAACAAGAACGATATTCTGGGACGACTTTTTAACTGGCAAAAGGTCTGGCAAAAGCTGAAACAACAGCGACTTTCCAAAGCCAGTTGGAAGAATCGACAACACATCGAAGCCTTGAAGCAAATATTCAAAGCATTGAACTTGCTTTGGTTTCAAACAAAAACTGGGAAAATTATTCATAGCAAATGCTACATGTAACCGCTTAAACGTATCAGAAAATTTCCACATTTTGACAACATTCCGTGTGTGAAATACTGTTATTCGTGTTCACCGCTCCTTGGCCATCAGAATTAAATATTGCATATAATTTGAATATATTATATGGGTCTTAATTTATTACACCCCAAAATTTGGGGTGTAAATTTTAGCCGATGCCAGGGCCTTCTCCAGCTCAAAGGCCCTGGGGACGAGGTTGGTGAAATATCAATGTCCATATATAATGGGATGTCCATGAACTTGCCCCTAGTTTGAAGCTAATGTATTCATATCTTTTGTATAAGTTGTCCCTCTACAAACCAACTTTTAGTCATTATACAAGAGTTGAATTTGCATTCATTTGCTTCGCAAGTCGCAACAAACTGAACAAAGTACTAAACCATAAACCTGTGCAATGATCGAGCGTCTTTAGCGACATATCCAAGTCTTTTAAACGTCTCATTGGAACAAATCTCACTGAGTTTTTTCTACAGAAAGTATTGATCCATTTGATCGATCGCCGTACTTTGAAAAAAGCTTGAAATGCAAAATTCACAGGAAAGATTGAAGAATTTCGGAGATAAAAACTGTTTGTCTTCGAGTTTCACCTGTTCACCCCCCGGTTGAGAAAAGTAACAATTACGTAATGTTGGAGTCACGTGACCAGCGTTTACCAGGGCTACGTCGCCGCCTTCAATTCGCGACTAGCCCTGGGTACGAGGTTGGGAATTATCAGTTTGTTTCCGAAAACTAGTCGATTTTGTGATCAAAATGTACATTTCGTAATACAAATCCCTATTGCACTGACTGGCTTTACTGGTTACGGCCTGCGAGCTTGAAAGATTCCGCGCGTGCGCACTGAAATTGGTTACGCGTTGTACACACGAGTTGCCCTTCTATGTTAAGTTGTGCTCTTATGTATTACGTAATTTATGTTATTAAAGTAGAAACAATTGTTAGTTGTAATGTTATTAGTAATTGATATATTAAGTTACATATAGATAAAGAGCAAGAGACTCATGACTATATTTGGTAAATATCTGACCAATTACCGTAAAGCGTAACTTATGTAAATAGTGTATATTCATTGTAAAAGCGTGAGTTGTACTCTGTCTGTCGTGTAAAATAAAGCTATAAGAAACTTATGTGCTCAAATTGAATATAATAAAGAATGGCAACAGCCACAAACCCAACAGGTTATGGGCCCAGAAGGGGACTACTATTTAACGGCGATGAAAGTAAATATGAACTATGGGAAGTAAAGTTTCTGGCGCAGATGAGGCTACAAAAATTACACGATGTATTTGTGCCAGGTGATAAAGAACCCGATGCGTCGAGGAATGGAGATGCTTTCGCAGAGTTGGTACAATGCCTAGACGGCAGAAGTTTGGCGCTAGTTATACGCGAAGCAAAAGACGACGGGCAGAGAGCATTGGAGATATTGCGACAGCACTACCAAGGAAAGAGCAAGCCTCGAGTTATCTCACTATACACAGAACTGACGACGCTCAAGAAAACGGACAGTGAGAGCATCGTTGATTATGTCATACGGGCTGAAACGGCTGCGACAGCATTGAGAAACGCAGATGAAGCTGTAAGCGACGCGTTATTGATCGCGATGGTGCTAAAAGGATTACCAAGTAACTTTAAGACATTCTCGGCGATAGTTGTCCAACGAGACAAGCAAATGACATTTGCAGAGTTTAAAGTCGCACTGCGTAGCTACGAAGAGAGCGAGAAAAGTAGAAACGGTAACAGCGAGACGGGAGAAAATATTATATGGCCATGAAGAACGGCGAGAGATTTGACGGAGTTTGTTTCAAGTGCGGGAAGAAGGGACACAAAAAGTCTGAATGTTGGTCGAAGTCGGGAAAGAACGGAAACGGAAAGTGGTGCAGTCGTTGTAGAAACAAAACGCATGATACGAAGGAATGCCGATCAAATATGGGGAGAAACGATTCTGCGAAGAAAGCCGAAGATCAAGGAAGAACGAAGACTGAGAACAGTGAGCATACGTTTACATTTAAAGTCAGTGACAGTAGTGCCTGTGGTAAGAGTTATAGTAACAATCTTTTAGTAGATACTGGCGCTACTAGCCATATTGTAAATGATAAATCTAAGTTTATAAGTTTTGATGAAGATTTTGACCCAAATGCGCACATTATAGAGCTCGCAGATGGCAGTAAGGCTAAGGTTGTGACAGGTAAGGGCGTTGCGAAGGTTAAGCTATATGACGTAAACGGAAGTTCTCATGATCTAATTTTAAATAATGCGCTTTATGTCCCATCGTATCAGCAGGATATCTTTTCAGTCAATGCAGCAATAGAAGAGGGCGCAAGCATAAGCCTAGATAAGCATAACAAGAGGTTTAAGAGCTCGGATGGTGCAGTTTTTAATATTGAACAGGTAGGTCGTTTATATTACCTAAACGGTATTTCATCTTCCAAGAATAATGCGGGTACAATTTTAGAGTGGCATAGAATTCTAGGGCACTGTAATTTTTCAGATATTCGTAAGCTTGAAAATGTTGTAGATGGAATGAAGATCACTAGTCATAAGGAAGTGGAATGTAAAACATGCACACAAGGTAAGATGACCCAGTCGAGAAATAGGACACCTGATAAGAGAGCCAATGCCCCATTTGATTTAGTTCATTCAGATTTAGCTGGACCGATTAGTCCAGGTGGTAAGGATGGTTTCAATTATGCATTGTCTTTTGTGGATGATTACTCTGGTGTTATCATGATATATTTTTTAAAGCATAAATCTGATACAGTCGAAGCTACTAAACAATTTTTAGCAGATATTGCCCCTCTTGGTAAAGTGAAATGTATCAGAAGTGATAATGGTGGGGAATTTATTGGGCAAAAGTTTAAGTCTCTACTCCGAGAGAGCACAATTAAACATGAAACGTGTGCCCCATATTCACCCCATCAAAATGGCACAGCAGAAAGAGCTTGGCTTAGCTTATTTAATATGGCAAGGTGTTTGTTGTTAGAAGCTAAGTTACCCAAAATGTTATGGACATATGCTGTGATGGCTTCAGCATATATAAGGAATAGGTGCTTCAATGACAGATTGGGCAAAACCCCATATGAAGCCTTAACTGGCATAAAGCCAAATCTGAATAATATGCACGTATTTGGTGCAGTATGCTATGCATATGTGCAAGGTCCTAAGAAGCTTGAACCTAGAAGTAAGGAGGGGATTTTTGTAGGGTATGACAAAAATAGCCCTGCATATTTGGTGTACTATCCAGAAAGCATGAAAGTTGAACGAGTGAGATGTGTTAAATTCTTTGATTCAACTAAATTTGATAACGAGAACCGTCAAATTGACGAAGAGGTTGTCTCACTTCCCCACAATACTTCTTACGGTGAGCAACAAACTGGAGCTGATGAGAATATTGAACCAGCTATTCCACCAGTAGAGGGTGAAGTAAGTAGTGTAAGGTACCCTACCAGGACTCACAATAAACCCGCTTACCTAAGTGAGTATGTTGTAGAAAGTATCACTGATAGTAGTGCTAATGTTGCAATAGATTATTGCTATAGGATGAATGACATCCCAGCTTGTTATTCACAAGCAGTAAATTCACCAGATTCAGCTAGGTGGAAAAAGGCAATGGATGAAGAATTTGACTCTCTGGTAAGTAATGAAACATTTACACTTACCATGGTTCCACCCAACCGCGAGATAGTAGGTGGAAAATGGGTGTACACAATTAAATCAGGTCCTAACGACGAGGAGACATATAAGGCTAGGTACGTAGCGAAAGGCTATTCCCAAGTCCCAGGTGCTGACTACCATGAAAAATTTGCACCAACAGCTCGGATGAGCTCAATTCGAGTATTAATGCAGCACGCGGTGCAAAACGATATGATTGTCCATCAGATGGATGTTAAGGCAGCATATCTAAATGCCCCCATTGATTGTGACATCTTTGTTGAACAACCTAAGGGCTATGAAAAAGTGGGGGGAAATGGTAAGAAACTTGTTTGCAAACTCAATAAGTCTCTGTACGGTCTCAAACAGAGTGGTAGGAACTTGAATGCAACACTTCATAACTACTTGGTGAAGGAAGGGTTTATGCAATCCCAGGCTGACCCTTGTGTCTACCATAAGTTTGTTGATGGTGATGCCAGTAAGTGCATTATCTTGATTATTTGGGTAGATGATTTACTTATTTCTGCAAGTAACTCTGATTTGTTACAAACGGTGAAGGGAAATTTAAGTGAAAGGTTTAAGATGAAGGATTTAGGAGTCTTACATTGGTTCTTAGGCACTGAGTTCAAATGTTCTGATGGTATGATAGAGATGAACCAAACTCGCTATATTGAAAAGGTGTTAGAAAAATTTGGAATGAATAATTGTAAACCTAAGACAACCCCATCTGTTCTTGGATTTGACAAGGTTATTGATATGGAATCACCTGTCTTAGAGGATCCCAACTCCTATAGGCAGATTGTTGGAAGCCTTATTTATGTCATGACAGGTACAAGGCCAGATTTGTGCCACATTGTGACAAAGTTATCTCAACATATGTCAAAACCTACGGCAGCAGCTTTAAATGCAGCAAAGCATGTTCTTAGGTACTTGAAAGGAACGTCTGTTTTAAGTTTAAAGTTCAGAAAAATGAAACAACCTTTGGAGTTGATAGGTTTTAGTGACTCTGATTGGGGAGGTTGTGTTAGTGATAGAAAGAGTATTTCAGGTTATTGTTTTCAACTGTCAGAATCAGGACCTTTGGTGTCCTGGAAAAGTAAGAAACAGCAGACAGTTGCGCTGTCCACTTGTGAAGCCGAATATATCGCACTGGCTGAAACTGTGCAAGAAGGTAAGTTTTTAAAGCAGTTGTGTATTGATTTAGGGATATTACAGGTAAGTAATAAGGTGTTGATTAATGCTGATAACCAAGGCGCGATCAAGTTAGCAAAGAATCCAGCATTCCATAAGCGGTCCAAGCATATTGACATAAAATACCATTTTATAAGGAGCGAAGCGCAGCAAGGCGCAATAAGCTTAAGGTATAT